GGCGAGAGTAGTACTAGGATGGTGACCCGGAAGTCCTCGTGTTGCATTCCCTTTTTGTTCGCTTTTTTTTTTCAAAATCGTCGCCTGGCCCCTTCGCTATGTTATCTTCGCTTTTCCAGGCGGCACCGCCTGTGTGATGGGGAAGGCGGAAAGGGAAGGACTTCGGGCGGCGGACGCGGGGCGCGGGCATAAGGAAGGAGGACGCAGGTATGTTGATGCGATCATACCAAAGACTAAAGCACCGGATCCCATCGTAACTCCGCAGCTTAAGCGTGTTTGGGCGAGAGTAGTACTAGGATGGTGACCTCCGGAAGTCCTCGTGTTGCATTCCCTTTTTGTTCGCTTTTTTTTTCAAAATCGTCGCCTGGCCCCTTCGCATGTTATCTTCGCTTTCCTAGGCGGCACCGCCTGTGTGATGGGGAAGGCTGAAGGGACTCAAGCGCGCGCCGGGTTAGGGGGCAAGGGGCGGACGCGGGCGCGGGCATAAAGGGAAGGAGGACGCAAGGTATGTTTGATGCGATCATACCAAAGACTAAAGCACCGGATCCCATCGTAACTCCGCAGCTTAAGCGTGTTTTGGGCGAGAGTAGTACTAGGATGGTGACCTCCGGAAGTCCTCGTTGTTGCATCCCTTTTTGTTCGCTTTTTTTTTCAAAATCGCTTTCTCGCCTGGCCCCTTCGCCATGTTATCTTCGCTTTTCCTAGGCGGCACCGCCCTGTGTGATGGGGAAGGCGAAGGGAAACGGGCGCGCCGGGTTACTTGGCGGGGCGGACGCGGGGCGGCATAAAGGGAAGGAGGACGAAGGTATGTTTGATGCGATCATACCAAGACTAAAGCACCGGATCCCATCGTAACTCCGCAGCTTAAAGCGTGTTTGGGCGAGAGTAGTACTAGGATGGTGACTCGGAAGTCCTCGTGTTGCATTCCCTTTTTGTTCGCTTTTTTTTTCAAAATCGTTTCGCCTGGCCCCTTCGCCATGTTATCTTCGCTTTCCTAGGCGGCACCGCCCCCTGTGTGATGGGGAAGGGGAAGGGGGAGGGGCGCCGGGTTACGGGGCGGGGCGACGCGGGCGCGGGCATAAAGGGAAGGAGGAGGTAGCAGGTATGTTTGATGCGATCATACCAAAGACTAAAGCACCGGATCCCATCGTAACTCCGCAGCTTAAGCGTGTTTGGCAGAGTAGTACTAGGATGGGTGACCTCCGGAAGTCCTCGTGTTGCATTCCCTTTTTGTTCGCTTTTTTTTCAAAATCGCTTTCCGCCTGGCCCCTTCGCTATGTTATCTTCGCTTTCCTAGGCGGCACCGCCTGTGTGATGGGGAGGGGAAGGGGGAACCGGCGCGCGCGGGGTTACTACGGGCGGGCGGACGCGGGGCGGGCATAAAGGGAAGGAGGACGCAGGTATGTTTGATGCGATCATCATACCAAAGACTAAAGCACCGGATCCCATCGAACTCCGCAGCTTAAGTTGTTGTTTGGGCGAGAGTAGTACTAGGATGGTGACCTCCGGAAGTCCCTCGTTGCATTCCCTTTTTGTTCGCTTTTTTTTCAAAAAAATCGTCGCCTGGCCCTTCGCTATGTTATCTTCGCTTTCTAGGCGGCACCGCCCTGTGTGATGGGGAAGGCGGAAGGGGAATCGGCGCCGCCGGGCTTCGGGGCGGCGGACGCGGGCGCGGGCATAAAGGGAAGGAGGACGCAGGTATGTTTGATGCGATCATACCAAAGACTAAAGCACCGGATCCCATCGAACTCCGCTTAAGTTAAGGAGAGAGTAGTACTAGGATGGGTGACCTCGGAAGTCCTCGTGGTTGCATTCCCTTTTTTTTCGCTTTTTTTTCAAAAATCGTCGCCTGGCCCCTTCGCTATGTTATCTTCGCTTTCCTAGGCGCACCGCCTGTGTGATGGGGAAGGCGAAGGGGAACCTGGGCCGGGTTACTTCAAGCGGATGGGACGGGCGGCATAAAGGGGAGGGACGAGGGTATATGATGCGATCATACCAAAGACTAAAGCACCGGATCCCATCGTAACTCCGCAGCTTAAGTTGCGTTTTGGGCGAGAGTAGTACTAGGATGGGTGACCTCCCGGAAGTCCTCGTTGCATTCCCTTTTTGTTCGCTTTTTTTTTCAAAATCGTCGCCTGGCCCCTTCGCTATGTTATCTTCGCTTTCCTAGGCGGCACCGCCCTGTGTGATGGGGAAGGCGGAAGGGGAATCCGGCGCGCCGGGTTACTTCAAGGGCGGACGCGGGGGCGCGGGCATAGAAGGAAGGATGACACAAGGTATGTTAGATGCGATCATACCAGCACTAAAGCACCGAATCCCATAAGAACTCCGAAGTTAAGCGTGCTTGGGCGAGCTTAGTACTAGGATGGACTGTGGCATAAAAGGAATTATGTATTCTTATATGTTGAGATGTAATCTTGAGTTGTTGAGGCTATTGTGGTATGATACTCAACTAAAATCCTGTGTTGTGGAGATGTGAATGGCATCTCCAAGGAATCACCGATGTTGGTTTGCTTAAATTGAGTTGGTTAAGTAGATGACATTTGATTTAGGTAAATTAATGTGGTGGGTCCTTACAGACAGCATTGGTTCCTCCCGTTCAATGACGCCAAGCCACCTCCTTTACTTCAACAATGCCGGGCCACCTCCTCTACTTCAAGGACGCTGACTGCCACCACAACCACGGTGAGGGTGGGCGTCCAACTAATTTGGCCTTAGCAGCAACGTGAATTTGATGAGGCGACGCGGATCTAGCTTGGCAGATTGAGCACTATACCGAGTGGTGACGCCGTGGTATTACGGCGAGCTTGACCACAAGGCAACATTTTTTAATTTTGTAATAGATTATCACTGCCACTTTGTGTAACCGTCCAGTTTGCAACCGGCGGTAATGAGCTCCACTATCACAGCTAACTTTTATCACCAAATCACAAAACTAGATGTGGTAATGATCTGGTTTGTAGCCGACAGTAATGAGCTCAATTATCACAGCTGACTTTTATCACCGAATCACAAAACTAGCTTTGGTAACGATCTGGTTTGCAGCCAACAGTAATGAGCTCAATTATCACAGCTGACTTTTATCACCGAATCGCAAAACTAGCTATGGTAACGATCTGGTTTGCAGCCGACAGTAACGAGCTCAATTATCACAGCTGACTTTTATCGCCGAATCACAAAACTAGCTGTGGTGGGGGTTCCTAACCGAAAATGATAATATATTTGTAGTATTGATTCTTGATTTTGCTAGTTGGAAGTTCTTCGAATTCTCGAACAAATCCAATCCAATAGAATATTTTTTTTGAAATTCGTAAATCATAAATTAAGTAATAAAATATAGAGAAATAATTAAAGAATACAATCCTTATCCATCTTTTCTTTCTTTTTTGCTTCATATACTGAAAAAGAATTCAAAAAGGGGAAATTTGAATTAAAGAAATTATCTAGGAGGATTCGTCTGCATCCGGTTAAACCCTTCCTAGAAAAATAGGTTCCTTCCTTTGGAGGTTGACTTTTCGAAGACGGTCAACATAATAAAGAATAATCAAAGCAGTAAATCTTTCAACGCGTAAAGAAATCCACTATTGAGCTCCTCTGCATGCCTCCATCCAAGCGAAATGGTACATGTGGCTCCTTACGCCGGGCGCGCCTCCCATAAGTGGAGGGCCCACACACATAGATGGCAAAACAAAGGACAATTTGTTTGTTATGATTTACAAATCTCTCACCGCATAAAAGAAATATGCTCCTCTAAGGGCCGCTGTGTGCCTCTGTCCAACTTAGTTGGAACACATGGTGTCTTCCGACGGTCACATCTCCCATAAGTGGATGGCCCCACATATGCACATGGCTCCATCTATTATAAACGGAAACAAAGGATTATTTGTTTGAATATGATTCGTAGTAAGAAGTAAAAGCTACCGTTTACACTTCCAAGCTGAAACAAATTGGGCTAAGTTGTGTTTGCGTAGTTGTATCACATAATTGGCCCTGTTCGCTGGGAGAAATTTGGAGAAATCTGAATGAATCTGTGAGAGAGTGAATAGTATTTTTCATCTGTGCATAGTGAAATCCGGCTGGTTTTTCAACCAGCCCAACGAGCCCATTATTTTTTTACAATCACCTTCTGGACTGGACTCTAAAGAAATAGTCATGGGCAGCAGAGAAAGATATATCGCCTCTACTATTATGCTGTTGTGCAGCTTCTGGATTGGGCTCACTGACGTCATGCCCTCACATGGAGTACGGTAGATAGGATAGTCACGAATGCCCGATTAAGGCCCTGTTTAGTTTCTATTTTTTTCTCCTATAGTAAAAGAACATGTTTGACACATGGAGTACTAAATATAGACGAAAAAAACTAATTATATAGTTCTCGATAAAATCGCGAGACGAATCTTTTAAGTCTAATTAGTCCATGAAAGCCTTAAGTGCTACAGTAACCCACATGTGCTAATGACTAATTAATTAGTATCATTAGATTCGTTTCGCAGTTTCTGATGGATTCTATAATTTTTTTTTTTTATTAATATCTAAAAACCCCTCCCGACATCCTTCCGACACATCAACGTGACACCAAAAACTCCCAACTAATCACACCTTAAACAAACAGAACAGCCATCGATTAACCTATTGCTCCCGCGAAACCGAACGAGAAAAGCACGCCCGGGGTCGGCTGTTGCGTCCAGCTTTCGCGCCGCAACGCCTGTTTCCTAAGCAAAGCAAAACCTCTATACAGCTGTCTCCAACCATTTAATCCCTCATTTACAGCATGATTAGCTTACTCTAACCACGAACTAATGACTGCGGAGTACGGAAAATAAAAATCAGGCGTTTATAAGCGCCCGCACACGAAGAAAGTGCTCATCGCAAAACAGAAAAAGAAAATCGAGGCCAGACAAGCGAGGGGAGAGCGAGCGAGACGAGAGAGAGCAGTTTCGAGCTCGCCGCAGCGAGGACCGGCCCGCTCTCAAGCGATAAGGGGCGTGGGCGGCCTCGGCATGGAGAGCAAGATGGCGGAGGAGTCGCCGGCCGCGGCGGCGGCGCGGGCCCGGCCACTGGAGGCGGTCGCGGAGGAAGGGCAGGAGGTGGCGGAGCAGAACCCGGTGGCGCCGGTGTGCTCCACCAAGACCATGGAGCGCGTGGCGGCCGCGAAGAAGTTCATCGAGGACCACTACCGCGCGCAGATGAAGAACCTCCAGGAGCGCAAGGAGAGGTACTGGAATCCGTGCCCGCTTCCAAATTTTTTCTGATATAGGAGGTCTCGAGCTAGCAGTGCTTGCCTGCGATTTGGCTAGTGCTTGAGCGCCTGCGATTTAGCTAGATAGATCTCGCGTGAGGCGGACTGATCGAGGTGTCCAACCTGCAAGTAGACGAGTTAGAGGTAGCCTGTATGCTTATGCTCCTGTGGGGTGGGTGCGAGGGTTTGGGCTGCACTTCTCATGCATGCTGAATCGGATTAGCATATCAGGGTAGCTGATTGTCAAATGTGGCCATAGGTACTACCAGTGCTGAGCTTTGGGTTGATGTTGGGTGGCAATTTTGCACTGGATTGAGCTGTTGCTCATTGCTTGCCTCTTGGGTGGCAATTTTGCAGTGGATTGAGCTGTTGTGCATTGCTGCGCCCGAGATAAAGCAAATTGTGACTTTGTGAAGTCTGAATTGCTTGAGCTTGACTGGCTAGAATCATTATGGCGTCCGTTGTAGGGCTTGCCATAATTGGAATAAAGCTGCCTGCCGTTAGCGGTTAGTCGGAGGATGCAAAGAAACAATGCTTGTGCTATGTTCACTTCCTCGCTTTTAGGGAGAGGGGACACACGGCAGTTGATCGTGCTCTCACGTGCTATGCGTTAGCGTTACCCTTTGGTCGCATGCTGGCAATTGGCTTTTGGCATGATAATGTGGATATGTCTTCGTGCACATTCAGCTGGACGGTTACTGAAATCAGGACTAGTGTTTCAGGGTGGTTGGTTGGGGAATGTGGCTGTAGGTTCTACTACTGCTGAGCTTTGGAGTGGGATTGCATGGCAATTTGGTATTGGATTGAGCTGTTGCTCATTGCTGCCTCTTGGGTGGGAATTTTGCAGTGGATTGAGCTGTTGTGCATTGCTGCATCCGAGATAAAGCAAATTGTGACTTTGTGAAGTCTGAATTGCTTGAGCTTGACTGGCTAGAATCATTATGGCGTCCGTTGTAGGGCTTGCCATAATTGGAATAAAGCTGCCAGCCGTTAGCGGTTAGTCAGAGGATGCAAAGAAACAATGCTTGTTCTTATGTTCACTTCCTCGCTTTTAGGGAGAGGGGACACACGGCAGTTGATTGTGCTCTCACGTGCTATGCGTTAGCGTTACCCTTTGGTCGCATGCTGGCAATTGGCTTTGGGCATGATAATGTGGATAGGTCTTCGTGTACATTCAGCTGGATGGTTACTGAATCAGGACTAGTGTTTCAGGGTGGTTGGTTGGGGAATGTGGCTGTAGCTTCTACTACTACTGAGCTTTGGAGCATGACTGCACGGGAATTTGGTATTGGATTGAGCTGTTCCTCATTGCTGTGGCTGATATATACCAGCTGTAGCTTTGTGGAGTCCAAATTCTTGAGCTTGACTTGGCTAGAATCAATATTGCCGGATTTTAAAGGGCCTGCCATTATTGGAATAAAGTTTCAGGCTGTTAGTGGGGGCATGCAAAGAAACAAGGTTTGCACTTATGGTCTCTTCCTCACCTTTTTAGGGAGAGGGGACATGAGCTGCTTGACGTGTGCTCTCACCTGCTAAACGTACCTTTTGGTCGCATGCTGACAATTGGCTTTGGGCATGATAATGGGGATAGGTCTGCATGTACGTTCAGCTGGACCCATACTGAATCAGGATTAGGATTAGCATGGGAGCGTGCAAGAAACTAGGTTTGTGCTTATGGTCACTTACTCAGTCTTTTTTTTTTTTGGGGGGGGGCGCATGAGGTGCTTGACATGTGCTCTTATGTACAATGCGTTACGTTTTGGTCACATACTGATTATCTCCATACTTAAGGAACTTGGGCCATATTATACCATCTGTGTCTGTAGGCGCTTGATTTTGGAACAACAGCTAGCTTCTTCACAAGTTCCCAGGGAGGAGCAGATCAACTTAATAAAGGATTTGGAGAGAAAGGAGACTGAATACATGAGACTTAAAAGACACAGAATTTGTGTGGATGACTTTGAGCTGCTCACTATCATTGGAAAAGGTGCTTATGGACAGGTTTGTAGTTCCAAATTTCTGCAATCATTTTAATGTTTCATCTTTTCTTCTTATTATACTTCAAATATTTCGTTAGACAGGATAATTGTTATATGCAGTTGTGCTACTCAGATACATGTAACAAGACCTATAACATCTCTGGAATGCCTGGTCTTCACAATACAACTGCTGTTTTCAACAGTCTGACTTGTATACCTTGAGTTGATAGCTTAAATTTTTGCTATTCTAACAGGTTCAACTATGTCGGGAAAAATCCACTGGTAACATTTATGCCATGAAAAAACTGAAGAAGACTGATATGCTTGTGAGGGGTCAGGTAAGACAAAGAAAACTGCACACTTATTATGGCTTATCTTTTTCTTTGTCAATACATATATGATGATAATAATTGTCCTGTGTTTTCAAGAAAAAAAAGCATATATGGCAATTAACTAATTCTTATATTTGTTATCTTGATATGCTTTCACGTTAACAATTATCAGCAATGTCAATAGTAACATCATTATGAGAATTGTTTAATCATTTGGAGTTTTATGAATTTTGTTAGATACTTTTTAGTGACAGGCTGCTTCGTTATGGTTTCTTAATTATAACTCTGACAAAAATTGTATGTGTTTCAGAAGACTACAAAATGGAAATGACTGAAAGAATTATTTAGGTAGATAGAGTTGTTTCCTTTTTTTTCCAAAACCACTTGGTATGTTAGTTATAGCTCCCTTTTTTTTCTTGCATTTTTTACATTCTTTATGTACTAAAGGAGTACCCCTTTATCCCCCCCTCCCCAAAAAAAAAGAACAGTAAGGGTGGATGTGTTTCAAGCTTTGAACTATACGATTTTCTGACAACCAGTTAGCCTAACCTCATATGATTTTAGTGATACAAAAGAGGTATTACTAGATTCGAATTTCAACATGGTTTTGTAATTGGTAAGAATATTATAAGGATTTTTTTTTTGGTAAATTTCAGTTTAAAAGTCCATACCAAGTCAAATTTTGCCTTATAAAAAGGGCAGAGGAAGTACAAGTATGTTTATTTGTCATTTCTTTTCATTTGAAGCTAATATTATCAAGTTTCTAATTAGGTGGAGCATGTTAGAGCTGAAAGAAACTTGCTGGCGGAAGTTGGTAGCCACTGCATTGTGAAACTATATTATTCTTTCCAAGACACTGAGTACCTCTATCTTATCATGGAGTATCTTCCTGGAGGTGACATGATGACCCTCCTGATGAGAGAGGATACTCTGACTGAAAATGTGGCTCGATTCTACATTGCTGAGACTGTTCTTGCCATTGAATCCATTCATAAACATAACTACATTCACAGGTTATATGTTTATGAATCTGATTTATTTATGTGGTATCCAGCATTGTTTGTTTGCTTACTGTTTTTTTGTTTATCAATGTTGTAGAGACATTAAGCCTGACAACCTACTTCTAGACAAGAATGGTCATATGAAATTGTCAGATTTTGGATTGTGCAAGCCAATTGATTGTTCAAAGTTGTCAACATTGAATGAAGATGAACCAATGACTGATGAAAACCTTAGGGACTCTATGGACATTGATTGTTCTCTCTCTGAAACTGCAAATGGTAGGAGGTGGAGCAGTCCAAATGAACAACTTCAGCATTGGCAGAACAACAGGAGAAAATTGGTACACATGTTTGCCTATTTGGTGTCTCCATAGTAACACTAATTCTCATGATCATGAACTCTCGAAGGTAATTTATTGTCACTAATTTTTCTTCACATGCTATATAAATGTTCTCCCAGGCATTTTCAACAGTTGGGACACCTGATTATATTGCTCCAGAGGTTCTACTAAAGAAGGGATACGGCCTAGAGTGTGACTGGTACATTAAGAAGTTAACTTGCTCACATGCTTGTTATCTCTTCATCTTCCAAAACCTGATCTCTTATTCGAACAACTGTAATGTTATTGTTTATTTCATTATTGTATACAGGTGGTCTCTTGGTGCAATCATGTATGAAATGCTTGTTGGTTATCCACCGTTTTATTCAGATGATCCACTAGTTACATGCCAAAAGGTTTAAGTCTTGGCCACTGAACGGTTCATCTTTTCATGGTGCAGATTGTCACATTATAATAGTATGGTTAGACTATTTTAATTGCTATTACAGCTAAGTTCAGATTTTATAGTTACTTTCAGGATTTTTTTTGTCTCGCTGAACTTTTTCATGCAATTTTTATGTAAGCCTGCTGTGTTAGAACACAAGTTTATTTCATGCCCGGGCCACTCTAATCAGGTATTGTGGGAAATAAAATAAAATGAGTATGCAGAAATGGCACCAAATGGATTTCCGCAAGTTCGCTTTGTTTTGCCAAATGTTGAAAGGGTTAGGCTCAGATTTTCTGTATAAAATGAAGAGGTCTAAAACAAAGTTGTTTTCCCTTTGGTTCTTAACTTCCTCTATGCTGATACAACTTGAAACCTGGACTGCTTATCTCTTTCATCAGCTTCTGTTAGACCCATATATTTAAACCCCCACTAATGGTTATATAATTGAGCAATGATTTACCGTGCAACTTCTATATTTTATATTATTTGCACTGATTATGCATTGTAACTTTACAGATTGTGCATTGGAGAACCTACTTGAATTTTCCAGATAATCCAAGGTTGTCTCTTGAAGCCAAGGATCTCATTTGTCGGTTATTATGTGATGTTGATCACAGAATTGGCAGCGGAGGGGCAGATAAAATAAAAGTATTTACTTCTCATTACTAAGATTACTTACTGATGTTCATTTTGGATTATACAACTCCCCTCTGTTTATATTTGGTAGGGTTATGTTAATCATTTCTTTTATCCTTTTCTTAGGCTCATCCTTGGTTTCAAGGAGTTGAATGGGACAAGCTGTATGAGATGGAGGCAGCATTTAAGCCCCAAGTAAATGATGAACTGGATACACAGAATTTCATGAAGTTCCCAGATGTAAGGAAATAGTTTTTAATTTGCTGCTTGTGCCGTTCTTCCTATGTTCGCAAGCTCCCTGGAACTTTTAATATGTATTTGATTTGTTTTTCTGTATACTGCTTACTTTATTCTAATTCGCATATATTATACGCACTAATTACCGCTTTGATTCTTTTCTGCAGTTAAACCCTGCTCCAGCAAGAGCAAGTTCTGGGGCTTCAAGGAAGGTATGTGTCGTGGACATAAACAGGAGATTCAACATAGCTAACCTTAACCGCATTCATCATTGCATTCATGTTCTGGAGTCATATTGAAGACTATGATACTGTGAATGCATTGTTAGTGTGTTCCTATTGTTTTCTTCTGTGAAGTTCTTTGTACTAACTATTTTGTGAGAAAAAAACAGGCTAAAAAAAGATCCACAGCAGCATACATAGTCTGTTTATAGACAGTATTTGGAGTACTGTTATTTAGTGCTGTGATGTTTGACAAACATTTTTATGGCTAGCAGATTTTTCAACTAAATAAAGTGACAAATGTTGGTTGACCCAAATTGCCCTAAAATATTTTGCAACTTGCATGACATTCATAAAGTTGCTAGCCTTTTCTTTTGTATGTGATTAAAATTTTTGGGTGTTTCTTTTTCTTCACATCTCTTTCATATGTCCATACGTAGAATCAATGTAACAAACTACATGCCATTATTTGTTTATTCACCCTGAAGTTTATCATTGTTTTGGAATGTTGTTGCAGATGATGCTTACTTCTAAAGATCTTAGCTTTGTGGGGTATACATACAAGAATTTTGAGGCTGTGAAAGGTTTGCATCAGTCTGCACATTTGTAAAATATAGTGGCAACTAACAATGTCATGTTAAGTACTATGATTGCAGTTGAACCACATAGTTTTCTTTTTATGATTTGTTCGCTAGCTTTGCAAATTATGTGTCTGATGAAACCATTTTGTTGACACAATTCATGGAAAGATAACTCCACTTTTACAGAGTTGTAAACTTGTACTTATGTCTAAACTTATCCTGCTGCCTTTATAACAGTGGTGGGAATTAATTTTTGTGGCCCCAGTTAGATTAATGCTAGAGATTATCTTGCTTATTCTTACAACTCTGATCCCTTCCGTCTCAGGCAGTAGTTGCCATAATATTCTGACTACTGGGTCCTTTTCAGATTCACATTTTCTACTCTCTGCAGTGGGTATATGAATTATGTCAAATAGTTATGGCTTATTAGTTTTGTTTCTTACCTGTGAAACATATATGCATGCAGATCTTCGGAGAAGCTCCTCATTTACAAGGCACTCTACTGGCTCCCCATCTGGTAGAGCATTTTATTTCGTGGCCTGTTCATAAAACTTCGTTTGATTCTCTGCTCTTGTCTTTATCTTATTTGGGTCGTCTATAATCCCAGATACAGCAGACATGGACTCATCAATGGAGCCTAACGGGACAGACGCCCACATGCGCACTGGTTCATCTGGCGACCCTATGGTGCCATGATCTGCCCTGTTATTTTCCTGAAGTACCCTGCCCTACACCGGCATCATGCATGCACCTCGACGACATGGCTACATCCGAAGAGACCTGGTTGCGGACTTGCATTTATTCAGGTCTCGTGCCCTTCTAATCGTTGGCGAGCACCTTTGTAGTTGTACAAACCAGAGGTATTTTTGCAGTATGTTTCAGGTGGGCAGGTCTGGCCCTGGGTATTTACTTCTTGACGCTGGTTGCCCAGGTTGGCATAGTATTAGGTCGTCGCCTTCCTTGTGGCTGCTCTTTGCCCGTTTATTTAATAACATATATAATATATGGTCATGAGGAAATGGAGAGATAATAACTGTGTTAGGCTAGCCATTGTGGTTGGTTGACTAATTTGTGCCGTTTGAGACCCCATCAGAGATTTCTGTGAACTGCCTAGTTTTGTTTTTCGTTTGGTAGTGCTCCGGTGTCGAGGAAACTGAATTGTTTCCTGCAGAACCCATTCACTCCAAAAGGGTCTGCGCTACGGTTTAGGCTGTGGTGTTGCAGCCGAGTCATTGTAGCTTGATTGTACTCCATAAATCTGAACGCGTGATGCAATAACAGGTTCCGCTGTGGACATTTTTGCCATCCGTTTAGCTGTCTAGAGTCCTGCCAATTAATCATGGCCGTGCCCGTCAACCAGGGAGTTCATGGGCTGGCGCACGGCGGCGATCGCGGTCAAGTCATAAACGAACGTAGCCGGACCGCAGGGGACGGCAATGTGGCCACGGAAGTTGTTAGCACCTGGCGTATATGGCCAGTTGGCCACAAACCCTTCCCAATCAATCGTTCCGTCGTGGCCACTTGTACCCACTTTTTTTTAAGCTCAGTTTACTCTGACCTAAGTTGCAGTCTTAATTGCAGGACGTCAGACAGATGAGTAGAAGTGTATGTTCTGGCTTAAGGGCATGTACAACCCACAGAGGAGGGGTCGTCTCTAAGAGCCTCGAATTAGACGTACAGATAGCTAAAAAGACAGGTCATACAACGACAGAAAGTCGTCTGCAAGCTGTTTAATGCTATGCATGTAGTTAAGATCACTTATGAATACCATTTTGTGTACCACTGTTGCTATTCGATAGATAATTGATCATAGCTGCGCTCAATTCACAGTAATAACATTCAAAATTCCTCATGTTGATCTTCTACTTCTCCAGGTAGTCATAACCGGAAGAAACAAGATCATATGAGATCTTAGCCAATTAACAACAACCAGCTATCAGGCATCATATAACATCAAAACAAGAAATGCGTCACCCACATCTAAATTAAGCTCAAAGATGGAATATTATTGCTTACGCCATTATTCAATACAAGCGCGACAGCTTAAAAACGCTGAAAGAAGAAATTTGATGCTGAAAGAAGAAACACAAGGATGCTGCAAGATGAGCTATCGAGTGAGGCATTGCATCGAGCGGCTGTCGGGCGTCCCTTTTTTTTCCTTTACCAACTCATGAATATTAAACTAGTTTGCCATTGCAACAAAATAGTTGAGGCATTAGCATGCAAACAACATCATGGAGTAAATACCAGATGTGGATCCAGAAAGCACGAGCAGATCAAATAATGCTACATGATGTAGTCTCTCAGCAACAAGAAACAGAGAAGGTGACTTGGGCAGCCGGGTCGAGCACTCGAGCTAGCGCATACACCCGTCGCTGCTCGTGCCTAGCCATCGCGGCCACGGCACCGTCAGGCGCAGTCTTGTCCCACCTTGCTCACGACGAGGTGCGACCGCAGGAGACGGGAGTAGCAGCCGCTGCCGTCGCCGCCACGCACCTGGACTCCAGCGCCGCCACCGTCGTGAACCTGGGCTCCGGCGGCACCGCGGTGCACCTAATCTCCAGCGTCGTTGTTGCGCGATGATGGAGAAAAGAGAAATATGGGTGGGTGGGGATTTTGGCGCGGAAGATTGGATTCTCCCACGCGCACAGACTGATCCGCCCCTCGTAGCTCAGAGACGACGATGCCGTACAACGCGCCCTCCACCGACGACTGAGCCTGGGAGCACGAGCCGGCATCGTCGTCTCGCGAGACGACGGCCTCACCCGCCTGCACGCTCGCGATGGTGTTTTCTATAAAAAATAAGTCATACACACGGCTCGAGTCCACCCGTTGTACGTGCCAGTTGCCGTTGCTGCCTCATTTAAATCCTATTTGACTAGGACTAAAAGAGAGGTGATATTGGGACTCTAGCGAGCACTCCTCTTGTTGTTCTCGCTTTCGAGAAATCAGTATTTTTAAACTTTAACCAATTACTCCCTCCGTACTCGTATTAGAGGTCGTTTTGGGCGAGCCGCTCGTTTTCGCAAAGGAAGTCGCCCAGGCTGCATGGGGCACCAGATGGAAGCGTTAGCCCCTGACGCTTTGTTCCCGCACGCCCGCCGCCAGCATGGCTCGACAATGAATTAATCACGGCTCTTCGTTTTGTTTACGCTCGCTCATGTCAAGGCTCTTCATCACGTGCACGCTTGCCTCCCGCAGCACGCGCTCGCCGCCGGTTCGTCTCCTGCAGCACACGCTTACCGCCAGCGCCATGAAGCTCGCTCGCGCCATGGAGGAGGCGCTGGACTCTGTCGAGATGCTAGACACCGTCGAGCAGGCGCTGAACAACGTTGAGGTGATGGACTCCGTCGAGCAGACGCTGGACAACGTCGAGCCGCTGGACACCGACGAGGCGGTGGACTCCGTGGAGTCGCTGGACTCCGTCGAGGCGCTGGACACCGTCGATGTCGTGCCGGACTCCGTCGAGATGGTGCCCGACTCCGTCGAGTCCCTATGTCCTCGCTGCGGCACGTTCCACGCTGGCAGCGTCTTCGGAGAAGCCTACTTCCAAGCTCGCCGCCACACTCGCAGGTGTGCGCGTTGTGGCCTTTTACATGAAGACTAGGATCTGCCATCAAGGTGGTTGCATGGCATAGAAAAGTTTGATTGTGAGTTCTATGTTACTGATGTGGAGAAACTTCAAATGGATGGTGACACAATACTGCTACCTTACGACGTTATCAAGAAGTTGGACGAGATATACAATATGAAGAAGTTGGAAGATGCAAAGATGAAGCAAGATGCAAAAGAACAGTAAGGTACATGTCCCATTCTGTCGACTTAACATGCATGCAAAAACTAATTTGCTACTAATAGTACTCTTGCTTTGGTTAGCATGCTGCAAAGACTAACATGCTTGCATCTCTTCTTCTAATTTGCTGCAGGAAGGCTCGCAATGGCTTCGGCTAGCAATGAAGCTTCACAAGAGATTTGCAATGGCAGCCTATCTTCTCTCTCTAGTTTTTCTTTTTGCATGTGAGGAATCTTCAACTTGTTGCATCCTTTAATCTTCATGGCTTCCATCAAAACAGTTTAAAGTGTTATAAAAATCTTGTTTGCTTTTCATGGAGAGTACTCTAGGAATGCCTAAAAAACTGTGTTGAAGAAACCAATCAATTAGTTGTTCAAGAAACAATGAAACAAGTGCATTATCTTGTTGTATGAAACAATTGATCATTACCTGTTGGACTGCTGGAACTAGATCGTTTATTGTTTCCTAGCTTTGCTCATACCAAGTTTACTAGACACATCTTCTATGGTCATTCTTTGCTTGAGAGGAATGTTGCGTAGTAGTTCCAAATCAAGAGGGACTACCTTGCGGCCACATCTACCCTTCTTTTTACTTGCAACCACAACCGGAATGTTTTGAGCAAGTTGGTGAATACCTCGCTTCCATAGGCACTGAACTGACCGAATGTGCAGTCCAAATTGGTCAGCAACAATTCTTGTATCCTTCTTGGCTAGTTTCTCATTCTTGCTTTTAGCCAACAATGCTTGATAAACTTGTTTTCTAACGTCTTCTGTCATTTCTTGTCTTCGATGGTTTGCTTCAATGGGAGCAGCATGTTCTAGTAAAAGAAAAAAAAGAATCACTTGTTAGCCACGACTTACATTAAAAATAATCAAAAAATTAAAAGAACAAACGGAGAAGAAATTATCACCCACTGCACCAAATTCATCTAGCGGCAGGTTCAAATCAAATCCTGTCAAAATAAGAAGCAATGATATGGGAAACGATTGAGAGAAAGAGATAGCACAGTACATGCACAATAGAAGAAGTAATACCGTTGCCATGCTCCAACGGAGGGTCGTTGAGATCAAACGCAGCGTCGCCGTCGTCATCTTCAGGCTCGTGCAAAGCAAAGCCAGTGTGGACGTCGTCATCTTCAGGATCGTGCAGAGCAATGCCAGCATGGTCGTCGTCATCTTCAGGGTCGTTGAGATCAAACTCAACGTGGCCGTCGTCGTCTTCGGATACAGGCTTGTTAAGATCGAACATAGGAAATGAATCGGCCATGTGTAGCTAGACTAGAGAAGATGGCTCAGTACATGAACAAGAGAAGAAGTGGCGTGGAGAAGAGAGAAAGCAAGTTGGCACAGTAAATAAGCACTCTGGTGACCCAAACGTCGGTCATGCAGCCATCCACCACCCACCAGCCATCCAAACGAGCGCGCAGGCAAAAACGCGCCATGGTACGAGCGCCACGGCAAATAATTTGGAAAACGAGCGCCATGCAGGCTCCCCTCCGCGCGCCATGCAGTCCAGGCCGAAAAAAATCAAATCTGAGCACGCGCCATGTATGGCAAAAACAGTGCCATGCAAAATGAAGATGTCAGCAAAAAAGTGCGGCGGCCAGGAGTCGAACTCGGCTGGCTAGAGCCAAGCCTCGATGCGCTAGCCATATGAGTTGGGAAGTTTTCTCGTATAGAATGCACCCGCAGCCCTATTTAATATGGACAGACAGGAAAAAATACCCTCTAATTAATCACTCCTTGGTATGCACAATCATGTCTAAACGACCTCTAATACGAGTACGGAGGGAGTATATATAAAAGAATATTAATATTTATAATATATAATTAGTATCATTAGATATATCGTTGAATATACTTTCATAATAAACTTATTTGAAGATATAAATGTTGCACATTTT